GTGAGTGTGTGAGTGAGTGAGTGAGTGTGAGTGAGTGTGAGTGTGTGAGTGTGTGCGTGTGTGAGTGTGTGAGTGAGTGAGTGAGTGAGTGAGTGTGTGTGTATGTGTGTGTGAGTGAGTGTGTGTGCGTGCGTGTGAGTGTGAGTGAGTGTGCGTGCGTGTGTGAGTGCGTGTGTGAGTGAGTGTGCGTGCGTGCGTGTGTGAGTGTGTGTGTGAGAGTGTGTGGCACCTGAAGGGCTCGCCGAGATGAGCAGAGCTGGGGAAAGATACTGCTGGTGGATAAACCTGCTGTCCGCTGGAGGACACGGCCTTAGAGTCTGAGAGAGATGGACACCTGTCAATCGCTGTGACTGTGAATTAGGCGATAGATCACTATCGAAAAAATCAATGATATCAACAATAAACGTTTGAGTAATTTTTGACATTTATCCGATGATCTAGTGCGTGTTTGGGTCTGCATGAATCAGCAGCACAGTTTCATCTACTACACACCCTCAAGCACTTCACACACATTTCAGTTTTATATGAGAAAAGCTATTGTCAAATACAAACAAATTTAAAGGTCTTTACAACAAACTGCCAAAAATAAAAGGTCTGTTTAACTACAAACTTAAGAAAGTATGACAGAAATATAGTTCTACTGTACAGCAAAAAGTACTTCTCAATAATGATAATGTTAATAACAATAACACAGTGTAAAAAAAACACTGTTTTATACATATCAAACATTATTATTATTATAAAAATACAATGCAACCAGGATATTTTTTCATCCATGCTCTAATTTATACATTGTTTATACAAGTTCTGTGTAGCACCTTATTTGACAAAAAAATACAAATGTAATAAAAAAATAAAAATGCAATTTGCCGTAAATTATTAATTGTATCTATTTAAAATTTTAATTTCACTGCATTTTAAAAAAAATATTACATTTGTAACGTTTTATTTCATTAGAAAACATTTCTTAAGATAAACTGTAATAAATAATTTGCATTAAACAGAATTGTATTATTTGTATTAACAATTCACAAAAAATTAAATAAAATAAAACCTATTTCAAGTGGCACTAAATAAGAGGGTAGCTTACTATGTGAAGTTCACTAGTAAACAAATATGTTTACATTCATTCTGAATATCTAACAAACATTCCTTGCCCATTAATTCTATTAATAAATATTGTGATAAATATCAAAATCTGATAATATGGAAAAAAATACTTTGATAATAGGGAGTCTTACTGTGATCAGGACTGACTACACTCACAGTCTGCAGCGGAACCTGAAACAAACACAGATGGAGACAGTCACTGTGTTGTTGTTACTCATTTCAACTTCAATCTCAATAGAGCTCCTTTGTGCTGAAGAAACTTCATGGGAAAAATGAGTTTTGTTATTAAAGTGAGACAACAGAAACACTTCACATCACAAATTAATATTTTGCAATCAGTTAACTCCTCGCTCATTTTTGATCGATTTTATTTGTTAAGCCATGTTATTTTTTCTCATTTTCAAATACATAATAAACTATCATATTTTCTTCTTTTTAAACTAAAGAGTGTTGAATATTTGCTCATACAAATGAGGTTGAAATTGAGAAATATTCAACATACACGTAAATAAGCTCTAAATAGGATCTAAATGACCAAAATTTCCAAAATAAGTGCACAATGCTATTGTGACTACTTCAGGTGGCTATAACTATTCATTAAAAAAAAAAAAATAATAATACTTTTTACACTTTCACTGTTCTGGATCTAAAATGACTCACAACAGCTAATTATTTAGCAGTGTAAGAGGGGTAAATAAGATCTAAACAACCAAAATTAGCATTTCGGGGAAGCCAGTGTTATAACATCTCATTAAACAACAACATTTACACTCTTAGGGCCAGTTTTACTAAACAGGGCAAATTAGCGTGAGAGCGCAATTCCAAAACAAGGAAATTTCCCTTTTCAAATTAAAGAACACAGACGCAACATCTCATTTACATATCGACCAACGCAATATACCAAGCACAGCGCAAATTAGCGCAGTCGCAAATAAAGAATAAAGAAGCCACAGTACGTTGAAAAGAACCAGAGGCCAAAAAATGAAGGTTTGCAAGAAGTTTTGATAGATTGGTATTGCGTGACTCCTAGGTTCCAAGTCGTCTTTTATTTCCTGAAGCAAATTAAAAATAACATGGCTTGGCAAACGATATGTTTGGACAATGTATTCTTCTTGCTTTCTAAATAAATTAATACATGTGGAAAAAATCCTCTCCCTTCTACCACGCGCTCTCTGTTCTCTGCAACAATAACTGCAGCAATTTCAAGCGCAAAATAATTTAAGACATGCTTTTTTGGGGCGTTAAATAATGGCGCAAATACCAGTAATTTGACGAGCGTAAAGGTTAGTAAAACGCGTTGCGTGATTAATTTGAATACACTCCTCCCATAAATTTTGCGTCTGAAAGGGAAACTCCTTGAAATGCATATTCAATCAGATCAGGCGCAAAAATAACTGTCCACACCTTTTCAGCGCCAATTCGTCACTGCGCGTCTTTTAGTAAAACCTGACAATGCTATTTTAACGCCAAAAGACGGTCTGCGCTGGCGCAATCTGTTAGTAAAATTGGCCCTTAGGGGGCCAATCGTTTTAAATAAGTTTCCTCAAAATAGCAATGTGCACCTGAACACACCTGGTTTTCAGACCAGCACGCCTATAAGCGCACAGATGGACGCAAGTGCATTTGCTATTTAAACAAAGTGGCACTGGATGTGAAAATGATAACTGCGTCGGGCTGAAACCAGCATAAAACACTTGTGTCGCGCCTGGCGCCGCATTGCAGCAGATGTATGATTGGCCCTGTTTAAAAGTTAGCAAACAACCAAGGTTCTCAAAAAATGTTTTTTTTTCGAAAAGCTCAGGAGGGTTAATTAATTGTTTTGAGTTCATTCAATGCTGTTACTTTTCACTGCTATTATTTTATTTAGATCTATTTTTCAATCCGCCAATCAACCCTGTGCACTGAAACAACACACGGTTTGATGTTTTCGTTTGATCACTACTGAGCCAGGGGTGTAGCAAGTAGCAAGCAAGAGTTAAATTTTGGCCCATTGTCACTGTATGTCAAAGAACATGTTAATTAAAAACTTGGGTGTTTATATTGATAGCTCCCTGAAGTTGCACACCGAGATCAATCATGTGGTAGAAATTTGGCCAAGATGAAATCATGTCTGACACTCAAGAGTCCTGAAATAGCAATCCATGCTCTAATATTATCAAGACTTGATTACTGTAATTCGTTATACAAGGGTATTAGTCAAGCATCTATCCTACAGTTGCAGAAGGTCCAAAATGCTGTCGCAAGGCTGTTATTCAATATTAAAAAGCGTGAACACATTACTCTGTCTTTGGTTTCTCTACACTGGCTTCCAGTACAGTATAGGATTGTTTTGAAGCTTCGTTTATTAGTGTATAAGTCTTTACATGGCCTTGCACCGACCTATCTATCAGAGTTGCTAATTGAGTATGAGATTGGAAGAACATTGAGATCAACAACTCAGAATTTACTTAAAATGTATAATTTTATTCACCCCCCGGAGTCATGTGAGGCATGTTTCATTACGGATGTGCGCGCTTTATTTCACGTCTCTTGGACTGTTGAACAGAAACACCCACCCACTGCAATGATAGAGCTTGGAATAACCAGAACAATTTTTAATATAACTCTGATTGGATTCGTCTGAAAGAAGAAAGTCATATA